CCCAGGGTGGGTGGGTGGTGATGGCCGCACCGACCTGCCGGTACCCTCGGCAGGTCTGGGTGCTGGTGGGGACCGGCTCGCCTGGACGCAGCCTGGGGGGCCGAGCGGTTGGCGGGATGCGGCTGCTGATGGCGCTTGGGGCCAGGCTCCAGCGGAGCTGCCGGGGGCATGCCTTCGGCCGGGCTTGGGGTGCCCCTCGCCCCAGCGCGGACCCAGGGCTGCAGTGGCCATATCCAGGGCCAGTTCCCTTCCCGCCGTGTCTCATGGCACGCTCCTGCTGCCGGGGCGTGGGGAGGGGGCCGCCGAGGGAGCGGATGACAGGAGTGTGAGGCTGAGCCAGCAATTAGTCCTCTAAGTGTCTTGACTCACCGAACCATAATAAACCATGAATTATGACTGGGAGCTTTGTGAAGGGAAGAATAAGCCACACTTGATCGCAGCCCACGGCATAACAGCGGCAGCCGGAGGGAGGGATGAGGGGCGGCAGAGGCGGCACGGTCCTGCACCCGCCTGCCCGGGGGCATCCTCCTCCCCTAGGGCTGGGGGAGGCCGGGAAGCCCCCAGCCCCTGTCCCTGCCCAGCACAGGACGGAGCTAGCCCCCCGCCACCGCCGCCTGCCGCCCCTCCAGCCTGGCTGCGAGGGTCTCCTGCTCGTTTAGGCAGAGAAAGAAACATCTGATTGACCAGTGCTGTAATGGTTCGGTGGGGTAAATAACTCATGGAGCAAGCGCGAGTGGTAACTCGGTGACTAACGCGCATTTGCAAACATTCAGTATGTATTTAATCGTCCTCCAATATATGTTTACATGAACACTAACCCGAGGGCATGCCCACATCCCTGTTTAAGCCATGGCTGTCCCAGCAGCCGGCGGCTGGTGCCTTGGGGGGGTCCGGGAAAGCCAGCACGGCTCCTTGCAGGGCTCCACCAAAACTGCGGGCAGCGGGCAGGGTCCTGGCCAGGCTCGCCGGGGCTGCGTGGCCTCGTGTGCTCCACAGGGCAGGGACAGCAGGGGGGACGGGGCAGGGGGACGGGGCAGGGGTCTGGCGGGTCATTTCCAGGTACCCGGGGCGATGCACGACCTGGCCTTGCCCCTGGCACGGGTGGGTGGGAGCCACCCTTTCCCCACTGCCCGCTTGCTGCCGGCAGCCCTCCTGCCCATGCCGAGCGGGGGCCGCAGTAATGAATCCTGCCCGCCGTGGGGAAGGAGCGTGGCAGCCTGTATATCTCTGGTTTATGAGAGCACCAAGCTGTCCCAGCAGGCGTTTTCAATTCCGTTTATCTGTGTTTCCCCATTGAGTTCATTTTATTTCCCCTGATTTTTGTTTCCTGGAAGATTTATTGATCCTGATTTGCTCAGTTTATGACAGGTAGCAGGCCATAAAGCACGCGGAGCAGCCAGCCCGTCGCCGGCCCCCTCCCTTCCCCTGCGAGGACGCGGCACCAATGTCAGCGGCGGGGAGAAGGATGGTGCTGGGTACGGAGGGGCCCGGGGTGGGCAGGGGGCCGGGGCGCTGGTCAGCTCTGGCACCTCGGCTCTCCCCTGTCCCCGCCAGCGGTGTTGGCGGGAGCGGGATCCGGGCAGCTCGGCCGCCCCTGTGCAGGGTCCGTGCCCTGCCGTGGGGCTGCTCGTGGCTGGGGGCTGCCCGGGGGGAGCCAGGATCTTCTCTGCCCCTCTGTCCCTCCCCAAAGGTGGCCCGTCCCGGTGGCCCCACGGTGGCAGGGGGCTGGGGGTCGAGGGGGCTCTGCGGACCCAGAGTGCCCTTCCACCCTACTGCCACAGCCCCTTCCGACCGACCTCCGGCGGGTCCCCAAACTGCCCGTCACTTCCAGACGCCACAGCCCCAATTAAAGCAATTCTTTGTGTTACCATTGCCAGCAGCTGCGGGTCTGGCACTCCTGCCCTTTGCTTCGGCGTCTGCTGCTGCATGGGGCGGGGGGGTCGGTCTGGCTCGGATGCCCAGTCACCGACCGGTGCGCGGGACGGAGGGTGCCCGGCAGACGTGGCTGTGCCGGGGCTCCGGCTGCAGCCTGCGCGGGGCTGAGCCGGCCAAGGAGCCGCGTGTCAGGTCAGTGTGAGGGTGGTTTTTAGCACACCCTGGAAAAGCACAGTTAAACGCTCGTGCTGGAGTTCAGCAGCTCTGCAAACACTTGAGCTCTCAGATTCCCACATGGGGGCTGGCTCCACGGCCCACCCGGTACCGACCACCCATCCCGTCCTGTGCAAAGGCTGCGCAAGTGAGCGCGGACCGGGTAGACCAAGAGCGGTCTGCCCCCAGCAAAGGGGTGACTTGATGACACTGGTCACTTGTTCCTGCAGACACCGAGCCCGGAGATGCCTCTGCCTCCTCCTCCTCACCTCACCAAGACATCCCGTCCCCGATGGCCCAGCCGCGGCTCTCCCGGGCGGCTCTCGTGGCAAAAGGGCTTCGCTGTCCCCCGGGAGCCGCCGTCCCCCTCCGGTGTTTCTGGCCGGTGTGGGGCTCAGCCCGCCCTCCTGGCACCTCTCCTGGGCCATCAGCCACATTCCGCTCTCGTGGTGCCACCTGGGACTGTCCTGCCGTGATCCTGGGGCTGGGGACTGTGCCGGCGGTGGCCTGGCTGCCCCCCCTGTCTGGGGTGTCCCAGGGTGACCACTGTGACCGGGAGAGCCAGCACAGCCCAGTGCCCTGCGGGCACCAGCTGCGTTGCATCTCTTGGCATTGGGGTCCTGGAGCCCCCTCCCCGCAGAGGGACCATGGGGTAGGAAGCTGGGATGGATGGGGCCGGCAGTGAGGCAGAAGAGGGGGACGAAGGGCTGGGATGTGGAGGGCGGGAGGGAGGGACTGGCCTCACCTTCCCTCCTGCTGTCAGACCTTATTGTCCGTCCGTCGATCCCTCTTTCATGGGTTGGTTTATGGACTGTCTGTTAGGAGCTTCCAGCTTGTCACTCACAACTGCTGCGCTGGGGAAGCGGGGAAAGGCTGGCCATGGGGAGGGGGTCGGGGCCCTGCAGACAGCAGTGGGCTCTGCGGTCCCCAGGGATGCTGTGGGAGGGGGCTGCTGGGGCAGGGGCTGCCGCGGGGCCGGCAGATCCATCAGCGGGACCTGCCCTCCTTTGGATGCACTTTGAGGCGGCCAAGCCCTGGGGTTAATTAATACATAAGCTTCCCAATTAAAATCTGAAAGAAAGAAGGTGCTTGATTCAATCAAGCCTTTTCTCCGCTCATCTGCCAAATTCCCGTCTGTGGGAGCAGATTTTAATTGTGTTCAGAGTAATTTGGACACGGCTGGAGCCCTCAGGTCATCGTCCCTGCCTCTGCTCCGCATGCCCAGCCGGGCTGCAGGGTCCCGGGGGGCTGGTGCAGTCTCTGCCGGGACCCTCTGGCTTCAGCCATCGCTCCTGCCATCAGGAATCCTGCGGAGCAAAAGCCTGATCCCGGGCCACGGCTGGGGAACAGGTGGGCGAGTGTTGGTTAATGGCTGGACGTAACGGCCCCAGCATCACCGCAGCAGGAGCACGGATGAGCCCTTTGCCGAGGAGCATCCGGCACCAGGCAGCGCCGGACCCTCCTGCTCTTCCTGCAACCCTTGACCACCAGAGCTGTTCCCCAGCCCGGGATTCCCTCCGGCACAGAGCCCGTGCGGCTGCTGGCGCCGGGGTCCCGGGTGAACAGGGGTGCAGGAGCCGCGCTGGGAATCCCACCGGGAGAACCGGGCTTGTTAAACCCTTCTGTTGGGTATTTCCCTCAGTTCCCCTGCTAAGATGGATTAAAGGAAAGCGATAAGTATATGGGATTTCCATGCGTCCGGAGGGACGGGGAGATATTAAAGGTATTAACTTTTCTGTCTGGGCTGATAATAATTCATTTTCAGAGGGGATCAGGGCTTGGCGAGAAGCCCCAGGGAGCTGCACGCCGCTCCCGACAGGGTGCATGTCCCAGCGGGCTCCGGTGGCACCGGAGGGACCTGCGCGGTGACTGTGAGCCGGCAGCGCCGGCGGCACGAGGTGACTGGTGAAGACGGGAGGGCACAGGGCACCCGGTGCAGATACGGCGGGACCCACCCGGGCTGAGCACCACGTGCCGCAGCTGATGGCGAGGCAGGGATGGGCAGGGATGGATGGCTGGCCCCATGCTGGAGGAGAGTCCAGCTGAACCAGTTCATCCCAGTGCCGCTGCTGGCCCCAAAGCGATGCCTCTCGGGCGGTGGGGACAGGGCAGGTGACCCCCACAGCCCCTGCCCCTGCCTGCAGCCCCTGCCTGCCTCTGTGGCCGAAACGGTGGCCAGGGGAGCGCGGGGAGGCTGGCAGCCCCGGGCCCGGCCGTGCCAGCGCTGGGGGCTCAGCCCCTGTCCCTGTGCCGTGCCGTGCCGGGCGAAGCCGCCGCAGATTGTGACAATAACATTTGCTGGTGACCTGCACGCGGGGACCATCTTTACAGAGGAACAATAATCTCTCCAGAGGAGATGAAAAGAATTCTAATTACATCTCCGAACAATATTTGTTTTGAGCAAGGAAAGCAAACCATATGGCATGTGGGAGACTGTTTGGGGGCCGCATTAAACAAGGATTTGTTTTTCGTTTATGCTCTGATCTAAGCAGAGATGCAATTGTGCTTTATTTATTTATTACACCTCGGAGGTGCGTAGGGTCCCGTGCACACTCTGGGGCAGAGGTCCGGGGGGTGGTATGGCAGCAGGGGGGCCCAGAGGCTCCTGCTCCCTCCCTTTCCTCCCGCTGCTCTTTGCAAAGTGCCAGGGGCTGGGGGGGACCAGGCAGCTCTGCCGGTGCCGGGGAGGGGCAGTGGGGTGGGCGAGGGGCAGCCGGGGATGGGGCGGGGGGGGTCCACCTGTGCGGCAGGGACCTGTCCCCTCTGCTGAGGGTGCCGGGTCTGTTTGGCCGGGGAAGGGTCCGGGCACTCCTGGTGACCCCGCTCGCGTGGCCGGTGGCATCATCCCTCGCCGGGATGGCGGCGCGTCCCCGCAGGCGCCCGCAGCCCTCGCTCTGTCTCCTGCAGCCCTCTTCACCGAGACGCCCCACGACATGACGGCCCAGGCGGGCGAGGACGTGGAGATGGCGTGCTCCTTCCGAGGCAGCGGCTCCCCCTCCTACTCCCTTGAGATACAGTGGTGGTACGTCCGCAACCACAAGGACTGGACGGACAAACAGACGTGGGCTTCCAACCAGGTAATGCCCCTCGTCCTCCCGCTCCGGCAGCAGCATCGACAGGCAGAGCCCTTCCCTGCACTCGCTCAGGGGGTTTTGCTTGCAGCAGCTGTTGGGGTTCGGGGGGGGGTGTCCTGTCCTTCAGCAGCATCCCCAGCGCTGACCGGACCTGCAAACAGCAGGGTCTCGCTCCCCTCCGCTCCACGCTCATGGGCAGAGAGGAGCCTGGGGGTCCCACGGCGCGGGACCACGCGTGGGGTGCCCGGCATCTGGCTGCACCGAGGATGCTCTGGGGCTGGCGAGGCTGGGCTGTCCTGGCCGCCCTTCCCAATTAGCTGAGAGGCCATGTGGCCCATCCCCTGGGACTGATCCCAGGCAGAGGCTTTGTCTTTGTGCTTGTGCCTTCTCCCATCTCATCGCAAACTGGTCCCCTTGCATCCGTCCCCGCGTCCTCCGCCCCCCCAGCCCTCCCTCGTTTTCCCCATTTCCGTGTGTATCGGTCTCAGCAAACAGCTGTCTCTTTATTTCTCTTTCTGTTCACACAGAGATAAGGGCCAAATAATGGGAAGGCAGCTTTAGGTATTTTAATGAGCCTTTATTATTGTGTCTTTGGCAGAGCTGCTACTGGTATTACCATAAATTGAGAGAAGCATCGGGGAAGTGCTGCCGCTCGGGAGCACTGCCGGGGGGCCGAGGGGGCTGCGGGGGTGAGGGGTGGCAGGGCGAGGGGTGCTGGGGACGCCCGGTGTGGGGAGCGGGCTGCGTGGCGCAGCGGGGAGCCCGGACGCCTGGTCCCCGGCGCTGCCGCTGGCTGCCGAAGGGGATTCAGGCTGCTGCCCAGCTTGCTGGCTGCTTCGGGAATATTTATGGTAATCGGGGCAGTGCTGGCTGTGAAGGGGCCGGGGTTGCCAGGGACAGGGGTCACTGCCGCAGCGGTGATGCCGCAGCGAGTGGGGCTCCGTCCCCAGCCCTGGGTCACGGGGAGCACCCGCTGATGGAGCCGAGCTGCAGCGGGGACCCACGGGCGAGCACCCCGTCCCCCCCTCCGGCTGCCGTGGTGCTCCGGTGCTGCCGTTCCCTTCCCGGCTGCCCCGTGTGGCTCCCATCTGCCCTGGGTTCCCCGGGTTTGCTGGGGCTGAGCAGCCCCCTTCTCCCTTCTCCCTCCTCTTCCTCCTCGCTCGGGGCAGCCATCCTGGGGGTGAGCAGGGGTCTGGTGGGCTCCTGCCTCCTCCCAGCCGAGCTGACAATTTCTCTTCCCTCTCTGGTCTCCCTCCCCACCCTGCTCTTCCCAGCAGCTGAAAGCATCACTGCAGGAGGAGCCTGGGAAGGACGCGACAAAAATAAGCGTGAGTTTGGATAATGGTTCTTGCAGGGGCTCCGGTCGAGGGCTCGGCTGGAACATTTCCCTGCGATGCCGGTGCTCAGTGTTGCATGGAGCTGGGGAGGGTGGGAGGTCTCCTGGGGTTTGTGTCTCTGTCCAAGGCCAGGCGCCCCGGACGAGGTGTCCTGGGAGGCAGGGGGGTGCGCTGGTCCCACTGGTGCTGCCGTGCCGCAGGGTGGGCTGGATCTGCCCCAGTTCCACGCTGGGAGCAGCCTGGACTGTGAGCCCCGTCGGCTCCTGTCGGCATCTGAGGGACACGTTTACGCTAAGGAGAAAATAATCTAATTTACTCACCGGATTAGCATCCCAAAGCCATTTAGGCTCACGTGAACAGAATGAGGAGACACTAATCAATTAAACAAAATAAACGCTCTTGGCCTCCCACTGTCAGGCACGTGTCCCCCCTCGCCGCTGTCTCTCCCTGCCTCAGGGGACTCCGTGTTTGGGGGTGCCACAGAAACAGAGCACTATCGGAAAGCGCTTCCCACCATCACCCCTGCCCTGGCAGCCTCTTCTGGCTCTTCCATTTTTCCCTCGCTGAGTGAGCAAGGGGGGACGGGGCTCGCCATGCGCCCACGGCTCCTCAGGGCCGGGTGGATCAGTCCCTCTGCCCAGCTCTCAGCCCCAGGAAATGACAAAGAGTCATTTACAAGGGGTAAAATGCCAGAAAACTTCACAACGGAGGGCATCGCCTCTCATCTCCCATCTGTGGGGAGCAGCGCCTGTAGATTCTCTTGCCGGTAACGAATCCCCCACGGGGACCATATCCCCTTTAATCTATTCATGCCGTGGGTCCCCGAGGTTTCAGCCCCTTTGGCCACCATTCCCACAATGGGCACCGCGATGCGCCCACAATCTACATCCAAACCCCAGCGGGTGCCTCCAGGATCTGTCCCTTGCCGGGGTGCCACGGCTCGCCACCCCACGACCAGCAAAGCGCTGGGGCTGCAGTCAGAGCGGCCAGAGCCCGGGCGCTGCCAGCCCCTGGGGACGATGCTGCCCACCGCGGGCGGCAGGACCCGGCAGGAAACTTTGCAAAACATCACTTGCACGGCTCGGGAGGGCTGCTGGTCCCCTCCATCCCCCCCATCCCTGCTCCTAGGGCGCAGCGCTTTGCTCCCCCCGGTGAGGATGTCGGGGTCCCAGTGCCTGATGACGACTGGGGGCCAAATCCTGTGCCGGGCAGGGACATGTGGTTGGGAGCTGGTGCCATGTTAGAGCCAAGGGAAGGCAGGTCCTGCGGCACAGCCAGTGCAGCCACACGGAGCCCAGCCGGGGTGGCAGGAGAGGCCGAGGCGGGGGCCTGAGCTGCGGAGCCATCCCGGGGCCAGTGCTCCCCCTCAGCTCGGCCGTTGCATTTTTCAGCATAATTAGGCAGTTAATTGCACGCCGGAATGTAATCGATGCATGTGCATGTGTAACCAGGATTTATTTTGAAGCGCTCGCGGTGCGATGCTTCTGCCGTTTCCTCCAGATCAAGCCAGCAGGGAGAGGCTTGAGTTTTAAACCTTGTTTTTTGTTATTTTAAATGTCCTTGATTATTAAGTGTTTACAGAATGGAGGAGATAAATGAACACGGGCAAGACACCACCACGAGCGGTTGTGATAAAATGTATGTTACAGCCACAGAGGCAATTGACTGAGAACAAACGGCAGCGTCAAACAATGCGAGACGATGTAAATCATATGCAGAAACCACCGCGTCAGGCACCCCCTTGGCCATTTTTTATCCGCCAAAACACACTTGGTGCTGGAGGCGCCGGTACCGGCTCTGCCTGGAGCCACCGTGCTTTGCGGGGCTGCGGAGAGGAAAATTGCCGCCTCCCTTTGCCATGTGGTAGCAAACACAATGGGTCTGGATTTATTTTTTCCCCCCTTCAATTCTTTAAACTCGCTGTTTGGCTGTTGAGCAGCAGCGCGTTGCAGGGCTGAGCTGGGGCTGGGCAACCTGCGGGGGTCTGTCCGGCCCGGCCCGGCCCGTGCGGGGGTCTCTCCCCCTGTTCCCGCGGGGCAGCACGGGCCGTCACTGCCCTGCCCGAGCCTGCAAAGCCGTGAGCGTTACGACCGGTCATAAAATTATCCCTCCCACTCATAACCGAGCTGTGGGTTGAGGCTCGGTGACCTGCTGGGCAGCGGCTCCACGGCCACCAGCGGCACCAGCAACCCGGGGTTTTCTTTTATTAGCTCTAAATTTCCCAGCCATTAATTTCGGTAAGTGATTCCTTGCTCTTCTGACACAAAGGGGGTTTTTTGAAGCTCCTTTCCCGTGACGGCCTCGGCGCCCTGGCACGCTCACACCGGGGCCGGCAGCTCGCCTCCCTCCCGCCCCGCAGCCCCCGCCACCCCCTGCCCTGTTTCGGGAGCAGCTCGGAGCCTGCCTTGGAGAAACGGCCCTGCGGTGGGATCGGCCCCCCCGGCCCCCCATCCCCAGCGCTGCAGGATGGGTGCTCACGGCTGCAGGTGGGCTCTGAGCAGCCCCAGCCCCAGCCCTGACGTGCGGCACTGGCCGCCTCTCAGCAGCCCACGGGGCGCGGGGCAGCTGCTCGCGTGTGCTCGCGCGTGCTGGTATGTGCATGCGTGTGCGTGTGCATGCGTGTGCTGGCGCTGGCTGCCCTCACGGCTGCAGCAGCTCAGCCCGTCGGAGGGGCCGGTGAGGGGCCCCGGTCCCCACGCTGCCGCCCACGTTTCGGTGCTGCCTCCTTTGCCTTTTGGGCCGGGAGTTTGTATCTCTTTAGTCGCGGCTCCCAGCCCCATTTCTAAACACCATAAAATCTTCAGCTAACAAATGCAGCGGCAAGTAGAAAAATGGCCTTTGCCATCCAGTGTGATTATAGGGAACAGAGCCAGGGGCCTCGGGGCGGGTTATAAATCTGATTTATTGACCCAGCCCAACAGCAGCCGCAGCTCTGGCTAGTGAATAAGTCTTAAATTTCATTGGGTGATAAATACTGAGAGCGAATCAATTTGGTAGAAAAGCTAATTAGCCGGCATGGTTCCGCATCGATCTCCGAGCCCCGCGCGGCCGGGCGCACGCCAGGGACTCCGTCGTCCCGCGGGCCGGGGCCGGGGCCGGGGTCCCCCCGTGCCGACCGCC